GAAACGTTTTACTGGTACAGTGAACAATCGATTGCTTTCATGGGCTAGCACAAATGAAATAATTTCTGATGCACAATTTGGATTTAGATCTGGTTATGGAACTAGTGACGAATTGTTTGCTTTACATTCTTTAATTGATAAGACATTCTCACAAAATAAAAGATTATATTGCTGCTTCGTCGACTACAAGAAAGCTTTCGATACTGTAAATCGATCTAATTTATGGCTCAAACTATCAAAACGTGGCATTAGAGGTAATCTGTTATCAATTATTTTTTCAATGTATAAATGTGCAAAATCATGTGTTAAGTTAGATGGATTTTATTCTGAATTTTTCACTAATGAGATTGGATTAATTCAAGGTGAATGTTAATCACCGATAATGTTTTCAATATATGTGAAAGATTGTGAGATGGAGTTTATACAAGAAGGTAACATGCCATACGAGTTCAAAACTTGAAGCCTTTTTCTACTTATGTATGCCTATGACATGGCGCTGATATCAGAATCAGTGGAGGGACTTCAAAAGTCACTTTACACATTACTATTGTTCTCTGAAAAATGGAAGCTAATTGTTAATACTCAGAAAACTAAAATTGTTGTTTTTCGAAAGGCTGGGAAAGCTCGAGATAATGAGCATTGGTTATATGATGGTGAAAATATAGAAGTTGTTGACGAATTTAATTATCTAGGATTATTATTAAACTATAACGGAAAATGTATGTGAGCCCAATTCTCAATTATGCAAGCGAGATCTGGGGATTTTATTGTGCCAAGGATATTGAAAAAGTACAAAACATTTTTTAAAGCAAGTGTTAGGGGTGAAGCGAAATACAGCTAACAACATGATATATGAGGAATTAGTTTGGTTGAAATTAGTACATAGTCAGAATTGTATTATGACTGAAATATATAATGATCTTATGGAAAGGTTAAATGTTAGTGAAAAGTGCTTTGGATATTAATAAACAAAGACTTTTTGATTGTTGTGTACAAGAAATAAGGAGTCATATAGCTGAATCGACCAAATGTAGTATGTATAGAAACCTAATATATGCACAAAGTTTTGATATAAAAATTTATCTCGGGAAACCTATCCAATGCAAGTACAGAGAAAGTCATAACGAAACTCAGAATGTCCAGTCACCAGTTAGAAATTGAGCAAGGTAGATATAGAAATGTACCAAGGAACGTAAGAATCTGTAAATTATGCAATTTAGATATTGAGGACGAATACCACTTTGTGCTTAAATGTCAATCTTTTCAGATACATAGACATATTCACATGAAAAAATTTAGTATTGGTTGAAACCCAGCATGTTTAAATTCATCAGTCTTTTGAACTCTAGCAAAACATCTGAATTATGCAAATTTGGAAAGTTTCTGCACCAATCATTTATGTTGAGAGAGAATCTGAAAACAAATTTAAATGTATGAACTAACAACAATGCGTTCTCCTTCAATACATTATTTTTATTATTTTTTTCTTTAACTAGTATATCACTGATGATGTACATTCATTTAAATACATGTTACTTATTTTATAACTAGTACATCATTCATTTAATATACATGCCACTTATTTGTTTACACATGCAAACTGCCGCCCTGGAAAGCATGTATTGAATATGTATGGTTGTAGTAATATCCTTTACCTATAAGTTGTAAACTTTTGGAAAAATAAAAATGAAATGAAATCATAGTTAGATTCCTATTAACTCATCTTTTACCTTCATTCATGAACCCCCATATTCCACCTGTATACCAACTCTTAACTTTATGTTTTGCATGTGATATATCAATATTTATGTTTGTATTGGGGGTAAATTGACAACTATAGATAAAATAAATAGGCAATCAAAAGTTATAAATAGTGCAACATGTTATAATAATATAAAGTTCATTTTAAAAATACATTTACACACAATTCAAACGTTACGAAATATTTTCAACATTCAGCGCAATCTATGTACATTATAAACACTACAAAAATAAAATCAGTACAATTTATTTATTATTTAGATTCATTTTTTTCCATTTTATGTCACTGACGTTTAGTGATCAACAAAGAAAAGAAAAGATGGATCTTCTGAATAATTACATTTCAAATACAAAAGAGTCAAATTTACATTAACATCACATTTCCGAATCAGCTCCACACGTTGAGACGTGAATTTAACAATACATTGTACTTACATTACATTTACTAATCACAAAATACTTATACATAATTTACATTAGGGAAATAGGGAACAATTTTCCACCACACTACATGCGATAGCTTGTCTGTTATAAATGCCCTTGTCCTTGACATTCGCAGGTAGGGTTTAAAGTAGTTCGCTTACCTGTAAACTCACAGGTAAGATATTATGTAGGCGTGTACACTTTCTAACAACTGTCGATTACTTTCAGCAAAGACGTATGCCATACCTTCTCGCTCAAAATGTATAATTTTGACGTTAAAAATGCATGGGGAAAACAAGAAAAGGTCAATAACCATGTAATCACAATTATTTTCAAAACTTCAATATTTTAACACCACTCGATAAACAACTAAGATACGTAATGATGAATATGTGTGTTGATTATTGCAGAAAAGTTTAATTGCCTCAAGAAAATATAACTTATACTTTGACGAATTGTACGGTTCTATAAATTACAGGTCACGTGATGTCATATTCATAGATACTGTGCGTTTTTACATAAATGATTACTTTTTTTTTTTTTAAGTTTTCTAATTTCTATAAAAACTACATATGAACAATTGATAAAATACTAGTTCCCATTTTAGTGTGTTTCATACTGCACAACGAAGAGGCAATACTCATACTAAAACGTACTATTTGTCCAATTCATATTCAAACCATTTAAACACCCTAATACACTATTAAACCAATGTAGTTCTATATAATACGCATAATGTCACTTTTTGATAAACCAATTTCTGAAAATTGCTTATAGCGTACAAAGTATAATGCATCATTTAAGTCCTATAGGTCGACTGGGCACACATTTTACCTTCTTAATGCATCAGACACAATACAATCCAGCAGAGCAGGTTGGCAGTTAGAGTTAAGTCAGATAAATCCATTGATGTAGGTCTGAATATTTAAAAGCCGACACGCGAAGAACAGCGCGACGTCGGGGTTGTACATGGTCAGCAAGAAACATATGTTATACTGGTTGTATACGTCTTTGCTGTCCGATAGAAGTTGTCTGAATAAACACAATACTGATGTCTTAACTGATTTTTTTTTGCGTGTATGGTGTTAGGGCCGTTAATATTGGTGTTATAAGAGGTGCATACACCAGTGTTACGTGTATGGTGTTAGGGCTGTTTATATTGGTGTTATAAGAGGTGTATACACCAGTGTTACCTGTATGGTGTTAGGGCTGTTTATATTGGTGTCATCAGAGGTGTATACACCAGTGTTACGTGTATGGTGTTAGGCCTGTTTATATTGGTGTCATCATAGGTGTATACAGCAGTGTTACGTGTATGGTGTTAGGGCCGTTTATATTGATGTCATCAGAGGTGTATGCACCAGTGTTACGTGTATGGTGTTAGGGCTGTTTATATTGGTGTTATAAGAGGTGTATACACCAGTGTTACCTGTATGGTGTTAGGGCTGTTTATATTGGTGTCATCAGAGGTGTATACAGCAGTGTTACGTGTATGGTGTTAGGGCCGTTTATATTGATGTCATCAGAGGTGTATACACCAGTGTTACGTGTATGGTGTAAGGCCCGTTAATATTGATGTCATCAGAGGTGTATTCACCAGTGTTACATGTATGGTGTAAGGCCCGTTAATATTGATGTCATCAGAGGTGTATGCACCAGTGTTACGTGTATGGTGTAAGGGCTGTTTATATTGGTGTCATCATAGGTGTATACATCAGTGTTACGTGTATGGTGTTAGGGCCGTTTATATTGGTGTCATCATAGGTGTATACACCAGTGTTACGTGTATGGTGTAAGGCCCGTTAATATTGAAGTCATCAGAGGTGTATGCACCAGTGTTACGTGTATGGTGTTAGGCCTGTTTATATTGGTGTCATCAGAGGTGTATGCACCAGTGTTACGTGTATAGTGTAAGGGCCGTTTATATTGGTGTCATCATAGGTGTATAAACCAGTGTTACGTGTATGGTGTAAGGCCCGTTAATATTGATGTCATCAGAGGAGTATGCACCAGAGTTACGTGTATGGTGTAAGGGCTGTTTATATTGGCGTCATCATAGGTGTATACATCAGTGTTACGTGTATGGAGTTAGGGCCGTTAATATTGATGTCATCAGAGGTGTATGCACGAGTGTTACGTGTATGGTGTAAGGGCTGTTTATATTGGTGTCATCATAGGTGTATACACCAGTGTTACGTGTATGGTGTTAGGGCGGTTAATATTGATGTCATCAGTGGTGTATACACCAGTGTTACGTGTATGGTGTTAGGCCCGTTAATATTGATGTTATCAGTGGTGTATACACCTGTGCTAAGAATATGTTAAATATAAACTTTACTTTATTTATTTTCGGGTGTCTTTGTGTAGGAGGAAACCGGAGTATCCGGTGAAAACCCACATGATCGGGCAGGTGACCCCAACCTTTTCACGTCCGATCGGGGAATCGAACCCCGGCCGCCTTGGTGAAAGGCAAGTGCGCTATTCACTGCACTTCTTTGTCAAAAGGCCATAGTAATAAAGAGTTCTTTATTCTAAGAATCTTCGTATGTAAAATGTTCTTTAATTTCATATTTTCTCTCAAGTATCAGGAGTTGAATATGTCTATCATACACGTGCTCAAGCCAAAAGAATGTCTTTTGCAACTATTTTATATTTCATTTTGAAAATATAGCCCTTCAAAATGAGAGACATGAGAAATTTCATGAAATCAATATTGTTTTTGTTATTCCAGGGCAATCGTATCCTAAGATACGTTCGAAGAGACAGCAACCCGAAGTTACAATCATTTAAGCACAGAAGCGTGTTTTCAGTAGGTGCTACTCATGGTAAGCGATAATGAAGCTGCCATGCACAGCGTTGTTAGTATCGGTCACAGTGGCCGTGTTGTCGCCTCTTCTAATGCATTTACAATGGCAGCAGGCACAGGCTGCTGGAGTATACAAGGATAACTTTTCCTTTAACACCTTCTTGTAAGATTGATTGATAAACATGTATATGATTGGATTCCAAATGACGGATGCCTTTGCAAACAAGGCAGGCAACATACCCAAAACAGGATTGACCTTCGTGACGTCATCAAATACTGCGTACAATGAAATGGCAGAGTATGGCAGCCAGGAGAAAACGAAAGCACCTGCCGGAGTGAAAATGAAAAAAAATGAAACAAATATTCACTTGGAACGTTAGTAAGAAAACAAATACTTTTAGATGGGCTATACAGTCGTCTACGAACACCCTTTAAATCGGCCATGTACCCAAAATGTATCTCTCAGAATGAAATTGTTCGTTGTTATTCAATAATAGATACAGCAAAACAGCAACGCTAAGCGGCTTTAAAGCGAACAAGATCTCAGTACACATATAAATAATTGTGGTCAATGACACGGCTCTAACACGTACGCCTTACGACATATGTTGCAAACAAGTCTGTTATTTATTATACAACATAATGCATCAATGGTTTGAGACTTAGTGACGTTCACATCTGGACTTTAGTTTTATAAGAGAATACACACTTAGAGGCTCCTTTTGGGGGACATGGAAAATGTTGTCTACACAAAAAATACGATATCAGTATGTTAACCGTAGAATAAAAGACTCTGTGATGCTGTTGACAGAGATGTTGCTCAGACAATAAACGATCAATATCAAGGAATTTATTTTATTTTCATTGAAACATGGATTTATTTTTATACTTCACGCCTGTAACTTGTTGTTATGTTATTCTCCAGAAAAAAATCAATAAATTAGTAATTCGTTTATAATTAAGCATCGTACGTGCTACAATGGTGTTGTTAATGTCTTTAGCCGTGGTTAAGTGAACGTGTATCAGTGTGACTGTAAGGAGTGAACGTGTATTAGTGTTAATGTACGGAGTGAACGTGTATCAGTGGTAGTGTAAGGGGTGAACATGTATCAGTGTGAGTGTAAGGAGTGAACATGTATCAGTGTTAGTGTAAGGGGAAAACATGTATCAGTGTGAGTGTAAGGAGTGAACCTGTATCAGTGTTAGTGTAAGGAGTCAACGTGTATCAGTGTTAGTGTTAGAGTGAACGTGTATCAGTGTGAGTGTACGGAGTAAACATGTATCAGTGTTAGTTTAAGTAGTGAACTTGTATCAGTGTTAGTGTAAGGAGTGAACGTGAATCAGTATTAGTGTAAGGAGTGAACGTGTATCAGTGTTAGAGTAAGGAATGAACGTGTATCAGTATTAGAGTAAGGAGTGAAAGTGTAGCAGTGTTAGTGTAAGGAGTGAACGTGTATAAGTGTTAGTGTAAGGAGTGAACGTGTATCAGTATTAGTGTAAGGAGTGAACGTGTATCAGTGTTAGAGTAAGGAATGAACGTGTATCAGTATTAGAGTAAGGAGTGAAAGGTGAACATGTATCAGTGTGAGTGTAAGGAGATGTATCAGTGTTAATGTACGGAGTGAACGTGTATCAGTGGTAGGGTAAGGGGTGAACATGTATCAGTGTGAGTGCAAGAAGTTAACATGTATCAGTGTTAGTGTAAGGGGAAAACATGTATCAATGTGAGTGTAAGGAGTGAACCTGTATCAGTGTTAGTGTAAGGAGTGAACGTGTAACAGTTAGTGTAAGGAGTGAACGTGTATCAGTTTTAGTGTAAGGAGTGAACGTGTATCAGTGGTAGTGTAAGGGGTGAACAAGTATCAGTGTGAGTGTAAGGAGTAAAAGTGTATCAGTGTTAATGTACGGAGAGAACGTATGTCAGTGTAAGTTTAAGGAGTAAACATGTATCGGTGTTAGAGAAAGGAGTGAACGTGTATCAGTGTTAGTGTAAGGAGCGAACATGTATCAGTGTGAGTGTAAGGAGTAAAAGTGTATCAGTGTTAGAGTAAGGAGTGAACATGTATCAGTGTGAGTGTAAGGAGTAAAAGTGTATCAGTGTTAGTGTAAGGAGTGAACATGTATCAGTGTGAGTGTAAGGAGCGAACGTGTATCAGTGTGAGTGTAAGGAGTAACATGTATCAGTGTTAGTGTTAGGAGCGAACATGTATTAGTGTTAGTGTAAGGAGCGAACGTGTATCAGTGTGAGTGTAAGGAGTGAACCTGTATCAGTGTTAGTGTAAGGAGTGAACGTGTATCAGTGTTGGTGTAAGGAGTGAACATGTATCAGTGTTAGTGTAAGGAGCGAACATGTATCAGTGTGAGTGTAAGGAGCGAACGTGTATCAGTGTGAGTGTAAGGCGTAACATGTATCAGTGTTAGTGTAAGGAGCGAACATGTATTAGTGTTAGTGTAAGGAGCGAACGTGTATCAGTGTGAGTGTAAGGAGTAACATGTATCAGTGTTAGTGTTAGGAGCGAACATGTATTAGTGTTAGTGTAAGGAGCGAACGTGTATCAGTGTGAGTGTAAGGAGTAACATGTATCAGTGTTAGTGTAAGGAGCGAACATGTATTAGTGTTAGTGTAAGGAGCGAACGTGTATCAGTGTGAGTGTAAGGAATAAGCGTGAATCAGTGTGAGTGTAAGGAGTGAAAGTGTATCAGTGTTAGAGTAAGGAGTGAACATGTATCAGTGTGAGTGTAAGGAATGAACCTGTATCAGTGTGAGTGTAAGAAGTAAAAGTGTATCAGTGTTAGAGTAAGGAGTAAAAGTGTATCAGTGTTAGAGTAAGGAGTGAACATGTATCAGTGTTAGTGTAAGGAGTGAACGTGTATCAGTGTTGGTGTAAGGAGTGAACATGTATCAGTGTGAGTGTAAGGAGCGAACGTGTATCAGTGTGAGTGTAAGGAGTAAAAGTGTATCAGTGTTAGATTAAGGGGTGAAGGTGTATTAGTGTTAGTGTAAGGAGTGAACATGTATCAGTGTGAGTGTAAGGAGCGAACGTGTGTATCAGTGTGATTGTAAGGAGTAAAAGTGTATCAGTGTTAAAGTAAGGAGCGAAGGTGTATCATTGTTAGTGTAAGAAGTGAAGGTGTATCAGTGTAAGTTTAAGGGATGAACATGTATCAGTGTAAGTGTAAGGAGTGAAGGTGTATCAGTGTGAGTGTAAGGAGTAAAAGTGTATCAGTGTTAGAGTAAGGGGTGAACGTGTATCAGTGTAAGCGTAAGGAGCGAACGTGTATCAGTATAAGTGTAAGGAGTGAAGGTGTATCAGTGTGAGTCTTAGGAGTAAAAGTGTATCAGTGTTAGAGTAAGGGGTGAACATGTATCAGTGTAAGTGTAAGGGGTGAACATGTATCAGTGTAAGTGTAAGGAGTGAACGTGTATCAGTGTGAGTGTAAGGAGTGAACGTGTATCAATTTAATTGTAGTGAGTGAACGTGTATCAGTGATAGTGTTAGGATTGAACGTGTATCAGTGTTAATGTAGTGAGTGAACATGTATCAGTGTTAGTGTAAGGAGTGAACGTGTATCAGTGTTAGAGTAAGGAATGAACGTGTATCAGTATTAGAGTAAGGAGTGAAAGTGTATCAGTGTTAGTGTAAGGAGTGAACGTGTATCAGAGTTAGTGTAAGGAGTGAACGTGCATCAGTGTTAGTGTAAGGAGTAAAGGTGTTTCAGTGTTAGTGTAAGGAGTGAAGGTGTTTCAGTGTTAATGTAAGGGGTGAACATGTATCAGTGTTAGTGTAAGGAGTGAAGGTGTTTCAGTGTTAGTGTAAGGGATAAACGTGTATCAGTGTTAGTGTAAGGAGTGAACGTGTATCAGTGTAAGGAGTGAACGTGTATCAGTGTTAATGTTAGGAGTGAACGTGTATAAGTGTTAGTGTAAGGAGTGAACTTGTATCAGAGTTAGTGTAAGGAGTGAACGTGTATCAGTGTTAGTGTAAGGAGTGAAGGTGTTTCAGTGTGAGTGTAAGGAGTGAAGGTGTTTCAGTGTTAGTGTAAGGGGTGAACATGTATCAGTGTTAATGTAAGGGGCGAACGTGTATAAGTGTAAGTGTAAGGGGTGAACATGTATCAATGCAAGTGTAATGAGTGAACGTGTATCAGTGTGAGTGTAAGGTGTGAACGTCTATCAGTGTAAGTGTCAGGAGTAAACCAGTGTTTGTGTAAGGAGAGAACTCGTATCAGTGTTACTGGAAGGAGTGAACGTGTATCAGTGGTAGTGTAAGAGGTGAATGTGTATCAGTGTTAGTGTAAGACGTGAACGCGTATCAGTGTTAGTGTAAGGAGTGAAAGTGTATCAGTGTTAGTGTAAGGAGTTAACGTGTATCAGTGTTAATGTAGTGTGTGAACGTGTATCAGTGGTAGTGTAAGGGGTGAATGTGTATCAGTGTTAGTGTAAGACGTGGACGTGTATCAGTGTTAGTGTAAGAAGTGAACGCGTATCAGTGTTAGTGTAAGGGATAAACGGATATCATTGTGAGTGTAAGGAGTGAACGTGTATAAGTGTAAGTGTAAGGAGTGAACGTGTATCATTATGAGTGTAAGGAATGAACGTGTATCAGTGTAAGTGTAAGGGGTGAATGTGTATCAGTGTTAGTGTAAGGAGTGAACGTGTATAAGTGTTAGTGTAAGGAGTGAACGTGTATCAGTATGAGTGTAAGGAGTGAACGTGTATCAGTGTTAGTGTAAGGGGTGAATGTGTATCAGTGTTAGTGTAAGGAGTGAACGTGTATCAGTGTTAGTGTAAGGAGTGAACGTGTATCAGTGTTAGTGTAAGGAGTGAACGTGTATCAGTGTTATTGTAAGAAGTGAACGTGTATCAGTGTTAGTTTTCTCGTGCTGCCCCTTTTTGATATATATTTAAGATATTGTTTATGTTGGTAAATATGTTTATGCAACATGGTTGACATTGTTGTTATCCATGTCTGCCATGTTATTCATCATTTAATAAAATGACATTTACTGGACATATTTTATTCTTTGTTGTTCTTGATGTATATTTATCCAAAAAACTAGCTTCAGTCGTGATCGGATGATCGTGATGGAGATTTATAGCATAAATATGGTTACGGATGTAGGATCCCACACATCTACGTGAAATATCTCTAGTATGATAATATTGCTCCCTAAAATATTATCGTATGTTTAAATGTTTTCTTGGTTTACATAAAACATGCATACCAATGATGTGTAAAATAATTCAAATTGACGGGAGATCATCTTGTACGGTACACTTATTTGTGTAATTTATCTGTAATATTACTTCTACGATATGACTAGATGAGATTAACGATTGGTTGGCATTATTAGGTTTTCTGTTCAATGTGCATGAAAGAGTTTTGTTCTTACTACCCCAGTCTAATTTTGAGAACGTTCTATTACCTGAATTTAACCTAGATTTACAAAGTAGATGTTATTCTGTAACTCCTGGACATTTTCTTCTTTGACCTTTTCAATTTTTAATTTTCGTTAGTAATTTACCTTAGTTTAATTTATGTTAACTTTGAGAGTTGAGAATGGTATTCACTACGGACATTCTCTAATTTAGTTTTCTACAAATTTTGCTGTGATAGTCAACAAATTGTACTATCTATAGTTAGTTATATGTCTATATTGCATTCATTATTTCTTCTTTCGTTTAGGATGATAATAATGCTTAATCACATCGTATTATACATCGACATAACAGCCAACCAGAAAGGCCATTGTCTTAGGTTACTTTGTTAAGTCAATGTAAATACAATCACAGGGTCCATTTGAAGCGTCGGACTTGTGGGTTATAAGCGTTAAGAGTTGAAACTAGAAGAACCAATTAGTAAGAATCGATTTACATGCAGCAGCTTGGAGTGGTATTTGACAGGGTTGATTAAATCAAGTTAAAGTAAAACAGGTATTTCTGTACATTTCTTTATACAATGTATACTCACATACAAGAATAAACATTGTCTTTATAACCTTGATTTCTCGTTTCAGCATATTCTCGTAGCATTTACCATTGCTCCTTAACGTCTGGTGTAATTTGTGCCTGTGACCACGTATCTGAAAGAAAAAGGAACAATGAAAAAAATTAATGTACGTGTGATATACATATTTGATTATATCATTGATGTTTATTATCCAAGTAGGTCGAGGATAGAGCACCCCTGCAAGTGGGGGATCGAGAATAGAAAAACACCTGCTGTTACCCAATGGATGAATCGTAGGAGGCGACAAATGCGGGAATCCCTGCAGAATTGGTGATATGCTTTGGTGTCCTCTATTTGGGGACACAAAAACGACAAAAATAAATCTCCTGCTTTCATTGCAATATTTGGTATCTTATTCTTTCATTCTACTTCTAACTATCTTTTATTTCCTAGCGCCTTGCTTGGCAACACCTCACATTTTGCTTAAATGTTGAGCGTTCGCCTAGGTTAGGAAGGCAATGGGTTCTGTCCCAAGACCGGGACAAACCAAAGTTCTTAAAAATGGTAGTTGTTGTTCTCTACTTAATGTGCAGCATTAAGGGGAATGGCAACAACTGGTTCACCCGACCTCAGTATAATGTGACCGGGTGGAATGCTGTGCTTGATACCTTCTGCATGGCATTTCAGTGAGATAGCACTATAAAGTCGGCATCATATCCGCGCTATCACAAGGAACAAGCACACCAACATACCCGCTCTCATACATACACACACGCAAGCACGCAAACACTTTACCCATAAAGGCACGTCCTTTAATGACCTTAGCTGTTAATAGGACGTTAAACAAAATTAAACCAAACCAAATCGGGGATAGAGATAGAATATACATGTTGTTACCCACTTTATGTATAGTAAGAGACGACTAATATGGGGATTTGCTTTTTACCCTCTATTTGAGGACACAAGATCGACCAAGAACTCACGTTTGGCTATAATGTTGAGCGTTCGCTCAGGTGAGGAAGGAAATTGGTTCTGTCCCCAGACCGAGACATACCAAAGTCCTTAAAATGATAGTTGTTATTCCCTGCCTAACGTTCAGCATCATGAGAAATGGGAGCAGCGTGTTCACCTGTTGTGGGTATAATGTGACCGCGCGGAATGCTGTGTTGGGTGCCTTCGGCATGATATTTCAGTGAGCTACATATAGCACTATAAAGTAGGTATCAGATCCGCGCTGTCACAAGGAGGCAATTACACCAGCATTCCCTGTCTCCATCACACACACACAAATGCACGCATACACAATACACATGGAGGCATGTCCTTAAACGGCTTTAGCTGTTGGTAGGTCGTTAAATCATATAAACCAAAACCAAACCAAGTTTATAATTGAAATACATGTAATTGAACTACGTGTACAGGTATAGAGCATAAGGCTCCATCCTCCTATCCTATCCCTGTTTGTTTATGTCTAGGTAAACGTATACAGCTCTTATTAGTAATTAATAACACATTGTTTTGTTTAGAAGCAAAGGACACGATGCTTTCAGGTTGAAAAGTCACAAAAATAAGTGTCAGTCCTGTGTAAAACAGATAGTACTCTATCTTGTATCGCGCCTACTTTACAGTTATTTTCGGTATATACGAGAAAGCGCTGTTATTTTATTTATGTCATCGATTGATCGGGTGGTAGGGATATTTTAATATGCAAAACAGTATTAACAGAAAAAAAAAGAAAGTTTAATAAATAATTATAGTTATTCTAAACCCGTAAGAACATAACTGTCTGTAAATATCAGTAAAGAAGAAGATATCGGTATTGCTGTGAGAGGCAGATATTTGGCAACTGAGTCCGGTTCCAAAGAAAAGTTGGAAAAATATCAAAATAGTTTCAAAATGTTTGGTGTTCCCTAAAAAGGAATATATATTTCACTTTCATTATTCGATGAGCTTAAAATTATTTCAGAATAAAGCAGTAATACAATTTTACAATTGCGGGGAAATATTCCTGACATGAACTCAATCAAAAACATTAACGAAGTAGGTCACATGAAAAAGATGATAAGAAGAAGAAATTTGGGAATCTTGGCAAAAGAATTGGTACTCGTTAGACAAATAGTTCTGGAAATTACTTCCTCATAGCATATCTAAAGAATGGTAGCAGTGGTGAAAAGTAAGGAATGCTACACAACATACAAGTCTAGGGGTGGTCGAAGGCAAACCTGGTGTTGAGGAAATCTCATACAAGTACTAATCGAATGAATTCATTATTGTTGTTACTCTTACTTGTAATATATACCCTTATTTTCGAAACAAAACAATGTGCAATTTATTTCGAATCGGACTTGCATATGACACGCTATATTTTATAAGACACCATTTATTTTGTATGTGAAAATTACGGTAATGTCAATTTCAAGATAAAAGAAGATCTACTGGTCAAAATTATTTTTTGTTTTTGATCAGGAATTTTGTATTATCTTTTTACATAGTATTTCATACTTATCTGTGGGTGATCATAATATACAACTATAAACATATGTTTGTATAATACAGTTTATAAGCAGACTTTGCATACTTACTACGAGGAAAATATTGACATATGAAAAAATCATGATAGAAACAGGAATCACGAGCCCGATAAACATCAACAGAACGGTATAGCACAGAGCTGATGGGCTTCTGTCAGACCAGTCAATGGCGCAGGCAGTCTTTTGTTCTTCGAGTTTATAAGAGTTCCATCCAATTAGTGGGCAACTTCCTAAAAACAACCCGATAATGCTACAACCTATAATGGTAACAGTTGTTCCAGTCCTCGATAGCAGACGTTCCCAACTTTTCTTGGCCATTATGATGTATTTTTCGAAGGACATCACGGTCAAAATGAAGATTTGAAATAAGCCAAGAGCTGTCATGGCAAATCCATGTAAAATGCACCCATGTTCACCAAACACCCAGTTATCCGCAAGCGAGGAAATACCAAGGGAGGGAACTATGAACACTGCAATCAGTATGCTGGCTACGCAAAGCGTGATTACGTAGATGTTAGTCCTTGACTTGCGGATACTTTGTTCCAGCAAAATGTAGATGAACATACTGTTGAATAATGATCCAAATATGGCCACAAGTAGCATGAAAATAGCAGTCGCCTGGAGCATGCCTCTTCTGAAAGCTTCATTGTCTGTGCTAGTACAGTTGCATGCATACAAGTCTTTGGAAATTGATGAGAAGTTCATTTCTAAAGGCTGTTAGATTTGATGTCTGTATAGTTATGATAATACCAAGTACGTCAGCATAAGTTCCAGGTATGTAGCCACACCACAACCCATTGACTTAGATTGTCAAACTGATTCCAAGGTAGTGGGCAGATAGGAAACAGACAGCATTTAAGTATGAGCCTGCACTATTCTATGTGGTGTGACAACAGGTATTAATTACATTAATGCTTAAGGCAAAAATCAATCACCGCATCACGAAAGTACCTTTAAGTAAGAGTTATTAATTCTAAACCATTATAATTCATATCATACACGCTATTTCGGTCATATTAGGATTTTGACTATAGTCGTACTTAAATGATGCGATTTTGCTAATTTTTTTTCTTTTCTCTCTTTTTGGTATATATTGTGTAGTATTATTTGGTATATAATGTGTAGTGTTATTCGGTATATGTATTGTGTAGTATTATTTGGTATGTATGAACTGTAGTTGTATGTGTTTCATGTATTTCAATTTGGCGTAGATGTTTTGTGTAGCGTTATTAAGAATACTTTATAATAGTGCGTTGTTGAGTGTCATTTAGAATATGCATTGATTAGCAGTATATGGTATGTGTGCTGTGTATTGATATTTGGTATAGTTCAAGATTGAGGCATGGGGCAATTGGTAATGTAATTAATTAAATTACACATTACATTGGAAAAGTAGCATTACCCCATGCCTGAGCACAGCATCCCCCCGGTCAAATTTTACTGACATCAGGTGAACCAGTTGTTGCCATTTCCCTAAATGCTGAACGTCAAGCAGGGAATAACAACTACCATTTTTAAGGACTTTGGTGTGTTCCGGTGTAACAAAAAAAAAAAGCGACCCGCGTAGAAAACCTACCCGGGGGTCATTTTTTTACGATAGAAATCTTACCCGGGGTCATTTCTATACGTAGAAATCCTACCCGGGCAGACGTAGAAAACATACCCCCAACTATATATTTTTACTTCGTCCTGTGAAAAAGTGACCCCGTAGAAAAGTGACCCGGATCTTAGGAAAAGGAAACATCAACCTCTATGCACGAACATATACCAATGATAATGATTGCCCTCCTCTATTAGAGTATCTCTTCCGCCCGGCCATTCGCTCAAAGGTCAAGGTCGACATTACCTTAAAATAGAAGTTTACCAAAAAAACTGGTAATTAATAAAGCTGCATATATATAAACATCAATGGATTTTTTTCGGTACAAGTTTGAATAAGACTGGGGTATGTCAAACGTTAAGGTCACCGATATCGATATTACAAATGGAAGCTCAACGGGTATTGTTGGTATCATTTATGCAACTGTATATTTCAATGTTTATTTTACAGGGATTATTAATTTGTTTGTCTTGTATAAATGTTGAATACTTGCTGACAGAAGCAGTTCAGTAAATAGGAGACATTTCACCACGTACATGTATCACATGAAAAGAAGTGTTAAGTAAGTTTAATTTAACGAATATTCATGAAGAATTTATGACCTTTGAAACGACTGACATGCTAAAATTTCGCATTATGAAAACTCACAATCAACAATACGAACGATCTTTAATTTCAACAATATTAGTTATTTATTACGTTCTGACAAGAATAGTATCTCACAGGCCTTGATTGGTACAGAGCAAGTGTCGGCGAGATAAGAACAGTTTAAAAACATGTTTAAGCTGAATAAAAAAATGTCAGGATAACAGAACTGCGTGTGTAATGGCAAGAATCGGGCAATTTGAATGTCATGTATGTTTCTTGGTTCATGAAAACACTATCACGTTAACTACTGACGTGCTAAAACATCCTTCAATGCGTTCATGAAACAACATTTCAATCCGTAAATTATCATGTTACAATAGCGTTATCACATTTACGTGTAACACAGCACAAAGTAAATAGTAGTTTACCACGTCAGCTTTTAGCATGATTGACCATCTTGTTGTTCGTTGTCATCATTGACTTTTTATAAAATATACCAAATTTGTTTTTACTTTGTAACTTTAAAGCCATCTAGTGTACATTTAACGGAAATTAATAAAACGCGAGTTATTTAAATACGTTGAAGGGATGATGGTAAATAAGTGGCATTGATATGAACAAATTATCTTGTGAAATACGACTATGCAATAAACATCATAACACAACCTTGTACTAACACTACTGTCTTTGCTAGATTTCCATACATGAATAGTGACTTGTAGATTTTGTGATAATATAAACTACAGTATGTTATAAAAAAATCTTAACACTTATGTTAACATAAAACGAAATTAATTAAACTCGTTCAATAACTTGATATGCCACTAGGCTTAATGCTCGTGTTATATGTAAATATTGAACCCGTTTGATACATTCAGTAGTACATTGAAAGTATTACTAGATCATCTTTTTATTGAAATTGTTCAATAGTTGTGTATGCCTCTTGCCTCTGGGCAAGTGACATATCAAATTATTTAAGGTTTCATAATATCTTAAAAGTTACATTGGCACAAGTCTAAGATTCGATAATACACATTTCTCTTGTCGGTGAAAAGATAAACAATGTCCTGTAAGACCAAAACGATTTCACCGAATACCTTTCACGGATGTTGCATCCTTTTGAAGCGGAGACCATGGAATGGCGTCATTGAATATGACGTTACACCAGTGTCAGAGTACGTGTAAAATATGACTTTTACTACTACCTATTAGGAAAAGCAAACATGCGAGTTACATATGTACGTTATAATACGTTAGCATTTAACGATATAGTTTATCGTGTTTCTGAAATGAACATTCGAATCTCTTAATTGTATCTAAGCTGGTGAAGATACAAAGTACATTGAACACGTTTGGGTGAAAATCGTACAAAACGAATCCTCTGCCAATGTCGTATGGGACATCCGTAAAGCTTAATACAAAGATGTTGTGATCGAAGTCTTTAGACATCAGTATACGTTCGTCATCGTGTGTATTGACCAATGCCGCTTTCAGGGATTCTGACGACGCTACGGACCAGTACATCTTGGGGATGTTGTTCTTTAATTCCACATACGGTTCTCTTGAATACAAAGTGTTTAACACTGAAAGACAGGTTTATGGTGGGCACATACATTTTGCATGTAAATGCTCCTTTGGGAAACATTTTCACTTTGGAGGCAAGGTTTAATTTCCAACCAACTAAATGAGGCTTTCCGTACCACTTTTCCGATCACCATATCGACAACACACGATACACGTAAATAACAGTTTCTAGTTTGTCAGTCATTGTCTCTTTCTTGTTCGATTTCTCTATCTGTCCTGTGGTCCTGTAAGTTGTTCGTCCTTTCTCTCCGATTTCGGTTCCTCTGGCCACAAGTACTTTAGAAGTCTTACTCCATTCACAGGGTTTCCTTATTTGACACCTTATATGTTCCCATGTCTTGCACTGCTTCAATTGTTTATGACCCTGCCGATGTAGGATAAAGTTTGCTCCGTTTCTGGTGGCCTTTCTTGAGCTATGCATAGCAGTAAGTTGTCACCAACCTTGAATACTGCTTTTTAACTTGTTTTGTCATGATGAAACTTGTTTTCGTTATGCATATTTGATATTCTGAGCTGCCACTTCTCTCGCTTGGGTAAGAGCAACACATGTATCAATTCTTGATTTTTGAGTTGATGTTGGGACTGCTGGTATATCCAGTTCAATAGGCAATCTGGTCTTTCTGCCGTACACCAAAGATAATGGATCTATCTTCGTTGACTTGTGCTCTGATGTTATTTATGCGAAAAGAGCAAACGGAAGTTCTACGTCCCAATCATTCTGATTATCATTAACAAATGTTGACAGTGATACGCAGAGAGTTCTGTTAAGTCTTTCGGTTATTCCCCCAGTCTGTGGGTGAAATGCAGATGCTATTATGTGGTATATGCCAACCACTTTATAAAAAGTCACATTTATGATATTACAAAACTCGCGGCCCTGGTCTGTAATGACAACCTGAGGAGCCCCATGCCTGCACACAAACTCCACGAGATGTTTCAGGACTGTTTCTGCTGATTTGTCTTTGATTGGCTTGCATCCATCCATTTCGTCAAATATTCCGTAAATGTCAGAATGTAACGATTTCCTATAAAAATGATATGTGAAAGGGAGGGTTGGCTGGTACAATTTCACGGTAGAAAATGTAATAGGTGTTTTTTTTGCACAGTAATTTTTTTTATTGTACCCGGGTCGTTTTTTCCGTCGTATTAAACGTACCCGTGTCGTTTTTGTATTGTAGAAATTGTACCCGGGTGTTTTTTCCATTGTTGTTAATGTTCCCGGGTTATTTTTTCACGGTAGAAAATGTACCCGGGTCACATTTTCATTGTAGAATATGGACCCGGGTCGTTTTTCCATTGTAGGAAATGTACCGGGTCACATTTTTATGGTAGAAAACGTAACCGGGTAAATTTTTAATTGTAGAAAATGCGCCCGAGTCATTTTTGAATTTCGTGATAGAAAACGTACACGGGTCGTTTTTCCATTGAAGAAAATGCACCCGGGTCATATATTCTTGGTTGACAATGTACCCGGTCCACATTATCATGGTCGAAATTGTACCCGGGACGTTTCTTCATGGTAGAAAACGTTTCCTATTTCCGATTGGTGGAGAATCTGCGACAATTTTCATCTATAATTAACACCCCATTCGACAAAATAAAGACATAAACTGTCGGTGGTGCCGTGCTATACACAACATTGTTATTCCGATATGGGATGCATGTTCCACGTGCACGATACGAATGATGTAAGATACATATTCCTTCCTGGTAAATACTCTCAAATGTTTACCTGTCACCTTTTCAACAGCTTTTGATCTTCGCCTTACAAACAGAACGTTCTGCATTTTCTCCTAAAATTACGTATTTTCGTTTCAGACTTCCTCATCTTTTCAGGATATTTTCCCCTCTTCATATATGCTCTTATTTCCTCCGTCATGACTTTCATTTGTTCTATGTTTAATCTCAAACCTTGACATAGAGCCCCAAAAGCATTATCGCATGCTTTATTGCATTCTGGCATGTTTTTGTGCACAAAGAAAGTGTTACACAATCGCCGGCCCGCGCTGTACATATTCGCGGGGTCCCGCGCTGTGACTTAATTACGAAGTGCCGTATTGCCAAACAATGTATCTATATGCAGGCTGGTTTTTTTTATTATTTCATCATAGATCCGACGGTGTATAGATTATTTAAAATCTGAATCCACTCGCTTAATGGAATAAAAAAAAATAGGCTGAGGCAAAAATCATACTGATTTTTTTTTATTTTAAACACTACACAAAATTCACTTCCATAATATGACCCTTTCTTGTATCATGGTTTAAGAAAATCCTTTGCAAATTCTTGTAAGGTTCATTATAGAGGCCATACAATACAAGAGGCCCATGGGCCTTAACGGTCACCTTAGTTATGTAAAAACTGATGTTATCGATGTTACATATCATTCACAATTAAACTATAGTAAAGTTTACCCCCTCCCCAGGGGGAAATATGAGACCCTAGTGTCATGAAGTTCACTTTTTTGGTAAAGCACCTTAAGACCATTCCATCTATGAAGAGTATTTTATTTTACCATATCTTGGTCTTGAGGAGGAGATTTTTGGAAATTTCAGTCAATTCAACCCTTTTTGGCCCCACCCATCAGCCCCTTGGGGTCAGTCAGGGCTGAAATGTGCATACCATCAAACGTATATCCAATGCTGATAATGCTAACGAAGTTTGAATTAATTCTAATGGAAATAAAACAAATGTTTCACAACTCCATTTGATAACAATTAAAGGAAATTGGTTAAAATGAGATAACAATGATTACTGAGCTCACCATATGCTGAAGGATAATTTATAAACGTGTACTGAATGATTCGTTATCTCGTAAACATGTACATGTTCATTGGTGAATAAAATAATATCTAAAAAGTTGCTCGCTTGGTTTGGTTTGGTTTTATTTTGTTTAACGTCATATTAACAGCTAAGGTCATTTAAGGACGGCCTCCCTTGTGTCGAGATGCATGCGTATAGTGTATGCGTGTGTATTTTGGAAGGCTGCGATATGTTCTTGTTTGTCTCCTTGTGATAGCGCGGAACTGAAGGCGACTTTATAGTGCTACCTCACTGAAACAAACTGCCGAAGACACCCAGCAGGACGCCCCACCCGGTCACATTATACTGACAACGGGCGAACCAGTCGTCCTACTCCTAATTTGCTGAGCGTTAAGCAGGAGTAGAAACTACCATTGTTAAAGACTTTGGTATGTCTCGGCCAGGGGACAGAACCCAAAGCCTTCCTCACAGGGGCTAACGCTCAACAAATGGCCAAAAGTGAGGCATTGTCAAAGGAGTCATAAGGAAGAAGAAAGTTATTTAGAAAGAAGAGAAAAGATAAGGTCCCAAATTTAGTCGCCTCTTACGATCATGCAATTGGGGGCAGCAGATACAATTCTTACGCCCTACCTGCAGGATGCAAAAGGTTGCTCGTAATTAAAGGCTTCTGGTAAGCTAATTGATAGGTTTCAGTTATAAAACCTGACCAATTGCTTGGCTGATATCAGTCGTTAGAAGATCATAGATGAGCTACACCGAATGTCAAAGCCTGCTAGGTGTCGCGTCTATAGACTTGTATTTGTTGTGATATATTCCTTTAGTGAACGATATATCGAGAAAGGGACCTTTAGATGTTAAAACGCTATAATAAATTACCTTCAACATACAAAACATCAACAGATAAATTTCACCATAGCAGTGTTTTATTGACATGTCACACTAAATCATGGCTAAAGCATGAAATTAAATGGCATGAATTGATTAAACAATGTATAACATGTAAGAGGATCATGTAAAGGCATATTATATGCCGGTAAGACAAAACATTATAATAATTAACTGTTATGTAGAATATATATATATATATATAAAGTATTGACAACTTACCAGACCATCAAGTTTAAATCCAGTTAAATAACGACATCAAACAAATATAAATGAGGAATCCAGAAACTGCTCCATGAACAAGAAAATACAGCATTATGGGTATTTATTTCCACTGCTGAATGTTCCAAGTCTTATTTCCCTTTTTTGATATTAAAAACCTCCTTATAACGCCAAATTGTTGCTGAAAATGGTGGCAATATTACTGTACATCAATCACAAGAGGGAATGATGCATACACCAAATATGTTTCAAGAGTGTTTGACACGAATGATAAAATCTTATGTTTCAAGAATATTTGACACGAATGATTAAATATTATGTTTCAAGAGTGTTTGACACGAATGATAAACTCTTATGTTTCAGGAGTGTTTGACACGACTGATAAAATCTTATGTTTCAGGAGTGTTTGACACGAATGATAAAATCTTATGTTTCAAGAGTGTTTGACACGAATGATAAAATCTTATGTTTCAGGAGTGTTTGACACGAATGATAAAATCTGATGTTTCAGGAGTGTTTGACACGAATGATAAAATCTGTTTATTCTGCCAGTGTAGCACCCTCATATACTTAATAATGATAATAATAATAATTCGAGGTTCTTATTTACCGCTTTATCACAATTTAGTTCGTAGGTCATCTCAAAGCGGTTCACAAATTATTATCCGTGGTTATAGGACCTTTGCAACCAGCCAATATACTCATCAACTCCCTGGGGAGCAAATACAGCAGGTGCTGCTATTTAATACCGACTAATATACTGACTAATATCAATATAACAAGGACACACATCTGTACTGACTAATATCAATATAACAAGGACAAACATCTGTACTGACTAATATCAATATAACAAGGACAAACATCTATACTGACTAATATCAATATAACAAGGGACAAAGATGTATACCGACTAATATCAATATTATAAGAGACAAACATTTATACTGACTAATATCAATATAACAAGGGACAAACATTTATACTGACTAATATCAATATAACAAGGACAAACATCTGTACTGACTAATATCAATATAACAAGGGACAAAGATGTCTACCGACTAATATCAATATTATAAGGACAAACAGTATCGTGATGGTTGTACTCATATAACCATCACGATACTGTTAGGATGTCAGGTTGTACTCATATAACCATCACGATACTGTTGGGATGTCAGGTTGTAATCATACAACTATCGCGATACATCCTAACAGTATCGTGATGGTTGTATGAGTACAACCTGGTATCCTAACAGTATCGTGATGGTTGTATGAGTACAATCCGACATCCTAACAGTATCGTGATGGTTGTATGAGTACAACCTGGTATCCTAACAGTATCGTGATGGTTGTATGAGTACAACCTGGTATCCTAACGGTATCGTGATGGTTGTATGAGTACAACCTGACATCCTAACAGTATCGTGATGTTTGTATGAGTACATACATCGGTATACTGTTAGGATGTCAGGTTGTAATCATACAACTATCACGATACATTCTAACAGTATCGTGATGGTTGTATGAGTACAACCTGGTATCCTAACAGTATCGTGATGGTTGTATGAGTACAACCCGACATCCTAACAGTATCGTGATGGTTGTATGAGTACAACCTGGTATCCTAACAGTATCGTGATGGTTGTATGAGTACAACCTGACATCCTAACGGTATCGTGACGGTTGTATGAGTACAACCTGACATCCTAACAGTATCGTGATGGTTGTATGAGTACAACCTGACATCCTAACAGTATCGTGATGGCTAAATTAGTGAAGCTTTTCGTATTTTCAGAATTGAAATGATCGTTGTTGTTTGATCTAGAGTATCGTGATGGCCATTTGAGTCTGACTTGATGTCCGTAAAGTATGCTGTTGGTCAAAGGATTTTCCGTCCTTAAAGTATGTAGGACTTGGTCCTGTCTCGTTACTTAAAAGCTCCCTTCGACCTTTTGAGAGCCGACAGGAGCAGCATTTCCTTAATATTGGTATTTTGTCCAAGAGAGCTTTTTTGAAAGACTTGTTGATAAAAAGATATATTATCGGATTCCAGATCACAGACGCTTTGGCGAACAGTGTTGGTAGCATGTAAAGTAGTGGATCCAGAGAATTGATGTCGTTGAACATAGCATAAATAGACATAACGGAGTATGGGACCCAGGAGAAAATGAAGGCACCTGTTAAACAAGAAAATATTCCCGTTAAACATAGCCACAAATACGTGTTTATTTTATCTTCTCTGTATTCACAATTGTAGTAAAAAGCGTAAGATTAACTTTTGTAACAAGAAACAATACTGATGTTAAAAGAAAAGAAATAATAAAAAATAACGGCTGGTTATCAGTCTATAGAATTGAGCACACAGATATGTAGAAAACTATTAACAATTATTTGAAGAGATATGATAGTTAATGTGTGTAAACCTCAATTTTAAACGCTGACTTGTCACCTTGAAATAGATGTTTAGATGTGTTTAAATGTTAAATGAAAGCTGATTGTATATTTTTGTCACAGGAAACAATACTTGGTATATCTATACTTACATACAAGAATAAACATCGTCTTGATGACTTTGACTTCTCTCTTCAGCATGTTGGCGTAACTTTTCCCACTGTTTCGTAACACGTTATGTAGATTAAAGATATGCCGTCTAATCTGTCAGAAAAATAGGATTCTAAATTAAAATCTTTTTCAGAAAAAATCTGAAACTGATGAAAGTGGACAGTAGTGTGGTAAGAAACTGCAGTAACAAGAAAACCCCAGGAGGACCGACGGACCTTGACTGCTTGTAAACCCCAGGAGGTCCGACGGACATTGATTGCTTGTAAACCCCAGGAGGACCGACGAACCTTGACTGCTTGTAAACCCCAGGAGGCCCGACGGACCTTGACTGCTTGTAAACCCCAGGAGGTAAGGAGGTCCGACGGACCTTGACTGTTTGTAAACCCCAGGAGTTCCGACGGACCCTGACTGTTTGTAAACCCCAGGAGGTGCGACGGACCTTGACTGCTTGTAAACCCCAGGAAGGCCGACGGACCTTGACTGCTTGTAAACCCCAGGAGGTCCGACGGACCCTGACTGCTTGTAAACCCCAGGCGGTCCGACGGACCTAGACTGCTTGTAAAAATACAAATATCATATCGAAGTTAAAGCGTTCCACCTGGCACTAACCGACTTTTGCAGACGAAGAAAACATATCATTTTTAAGTTTTCTGGAATGAATATAACGAAATGATATATTATTTTAAGTTCATTTATATACCTAGCTATATAGGGAGGTGGGGGTAGGGCTATAGGCCTTTTCAGCCATAGATATTTTGATATGGAATAATATATTTCTTTAGCCTTGTAAAATTATGGCATATGCTAATTAAAAACCATCATTAACAGTGTATGTAAATGAATATCTTGACATGTCTGGAGGAGATAAGGCTGTAGTATTTAGACTACTTACCTCGAGGTAGATGTTAATGTATGAGAAAAACATGACAGAAACTGGCACGACGAGACCCACCAAAAGAAGCAAGTACGTATAAGTAAGTGACTTGATACTTTTGTCGCCCCAGTCGATTGAACAGGAGGTTCTTTGAAGCTCAAGTTTATAAGAGTTCCAACCAAAGAGCGGACAACTCCCGAGGATAACTCCCAACATCAGGCATCCCGCGATAGTAAATCGGGTTCCATTCTTTGAAACAAATGAGTCCCAATTATTCCTGACCACTATGATATATTTTTCGAACGACATAACAGCCAGAACAAATATTTGAATGAGTCCAAACGTTGTCATTATGAATCCGTGTAATGCGCAACCGACTTCTCCAAACATCCATTTATCTTCTAGGGACGCTATGCCAACCGTCGGAACAACTAGAACCGCGATCCCTATGCTGGACACACACAGCGTGATGACGTAAATATTGTTTCTGGTCTTCACAATGTTATGTTTCAATAAAATGTATATAAACAAACCATTGAAAAGGGATCCAAACAGTGCCAGGAAGAGCATGACAATAGCCGTAGCTTGCAACACATCCTTTCGGAACACCTCATAGTCACTTGTTATAAAATAACATTGATAACATATGTTTGTGAAGATTGATGAATTCATTGTGCGGATCGTGTATTGCTTTACAATATCACCATTATTTCCTTGGATCCATTATCAGTTCTAAGTTAGTGTAGCTTGTACATACATATATAAAAATATGTATTAATATCAACTAACATTCAAACACGGAAAACGCCGATTCTCTCACAACAAATTTTGTTTTTCATGAATAGAACTGAATATACTTCTTCCTTTACAGTTCTAGTCGTTGGGCGCTGCCAGTGTTAAACAGCACCATGCGACAGTTGGCTTTATGCAGTTTGTGTGTGTGCCTTTATATAGCGTGGTGACGCCGTGGTAAGCTTTCGTACCTAGTTAATCCCCGCTTAAACATGTAGCTGGTGTGACTGTCAACTGATGCCTTCTAAATTGTGGCTTTTATAATGTGTTCATATAAAACATAATTTTGCAAGTGATGTAGCACCGTATTGTTTTTAAATGTATTTCTCTGAGTCCTATTTGTATACAAATGTTTTTTTCTATTCTTAGAATAGTGATGATATATCCTGTTGAAGTTAAACGTACTAACTATGTATTGGCTAATTTGAAGCAATGCGTGTTATACGTAAGCATAGTTCATGGTATATATATTAAATGTTTTGTCAGCTACAACTTTGAAAAAGAATTTTGAAATTTGAATTTATTTTTTATACATCCTTCAGACGGTTACCGGAACGCTCTTTAAATTAGTAATAGCACGTGATTTGTTTTGTACACTACATTTTGTCCCTTGCTATGCAAGGATTAATCTCATCAGCTAAAATCCATGCTTAGTGCCTGCACTTGTCAGTTACAATTTTTGTGCATGTTTATATGTTATGTATACAAAAAACGCCAACCGAAAGTTTTAACATAACTTGCATCTCCCGGGCATAGGGTCGGGGAGATACTGTCCTTTCATGTAGTTGGCTGTTTAGGTTATAGATGTCCATATCATCTGTTGTATGTATACTCTGGGTCTTCATGCAGATCTTTCGCCAATTTTATTATGTTGGGTTTTATGTATATAGATATATTATGTCTCCTTTTCACTGGCATGCTTGCCTCCATGATAATTGTACTTTGGTTTTACAATTTTGTTCCAAAGTACACTTTTGATTATATTTGGTTTT